CTCCCATGCAGGGGCCGCCGCCGTGGTAAATCCCCGCGCTCGGCTGGCCGTGGGCCCGGTGGGAGCGGGATGGAGGCTGGGGGGGCTCTTAGCCACGGCCGTACCGGAGGAGCAGCTGGGGGAGCGCTGGGAGAGGGGCCTCGGGCCCAGCCGGTGTCTGTGCGGTGCAGCGGGACCCTGCCCGCAGCTGCGCGGGGCAGGGTGCGGCAGCAGTAAGTGCCCAGGGCTGTGCCCCGTGTTTTATGTGTTCATGCCTGTTATGTTCCCGCTCACACCGTCCTTAGCAACAGCCTTTGGGGTACGGCTGAGTGGGGGGGATATGTGACCCCTCACCTTCCCCCGGCCGCCCTCCAGCCCTGGGTGGCTCTCGGCCCTGTGGGTGGAGCAGAGCTTTCTCACAGTCTCCCAGTCCAGCAGCGTGTCACTGGGCTTTGCTCACAGCTCTTTTCCCTCTCCACAGATTGCAGAGAGGTCTAGATTTCTGTGGCCAGTGGGCGGAAGCCATCGCCTGCTATTCCAAAGCCATCAGCCTGGATCCACGGAGGGTAAAGGGTCCCCAGAGGGCTATAGATACACTGGGCTAGGAGCTGGAGAAGGGAAGCAGCATTGTTAAGGGTGTCTCTCATGCTGGCATCTGGCTTCAGGATGCTGTTAACCTCTTGCTAAGCTGATCCTGGGTAGCTTGAGCAAAGCTGGGCTGAGCCAGCGTGGGCTGAGGGTTGTCTGTGGTGCAGGCAGAGCTGTATGAGCAGCGGGCAGAGGCCTTCCTTCAGCTCTGTGATTTTCAGTTGGCCATGCTGGACTTCGGAAAGGTGCTCACGCTGGTGCCTGCACGGGAGCAGCTCTGCCTGGCTCACCTGGCCCTTGTCCTTGACCTGCAGGTCAGCCACCATTCCCCACCCCTGTCTGCAGCCCCAGCCTGTGGCCAGGCTGACAGGACTTCCCTGCAAGGCTGAAGTGTGCTCAACCAGGAGCTCTATTGGGAGGCCTGCACACAAGCAGTTGAGCTGCAGCCTCACCTTTTGCCAGAGAGGGTAAAGCCAGGGTAGCACTAGATCTGTCCAGCTGGGCTGGTCCTGCTGTGGGCTGCTTCCAGCCTTGCCTGTCTCCCCTTGCAGCATCACGTGTTTTGTGGCCCTCAAGTTCCTAGAGTACCTCTGGAAGCTCAACAGAGACCTGGAGGAGGATATGAAGACCCCTGATCTGTACATGCTCTGTGCATCTTTCTACAAACACTTTGGACAGGTATGGCTGTTCCAGTTCCTGACAGGCCCTGCTGCCTGTCCTGGAGGCTGGGGGTGCGCTGGGAAGAGCCAGGCTCTCAGGGTACCTGGCTTCCCCAGGCAGCTGGCCCTGTGCCACCAGGACATCTGATGGGATGGAGCCGCCCAGGCCCCAAGGCAGAGGCTGATGCAAGGAAGCCGGAAAGGCAAGGCTGACGCGGTGGCCAAGGCCCTGTGCAGGGCCCTGCTCAAGATCAGCTTTGGCATTGAGAGCAACCCGTTGACTGCTGAATTCTTCACATTCAGTTGGTGAGAGTGTCACCGTGGCCAGTCGGCCCCATTGGCCTCCGAGCTCTCCTGCCTCTGTCCCTGTGTCACAGGGTGACTCTCCACCAACAGCTCAAGGACTTCAGTGCAGTCTGTGAGCTAGGGTGAGGGAGGCCCAGTAGCACCACTGCACCCGCTCGACCCCTCACCTCAGTCCCAGCTCCCCGCGTGCGGGGCCACCAGGCAGCCTTCACAAAGCAGCTCTCCCTGGGCAGGAGGTGACCCAGCTCCCACCTCCTGCTGTGCTGGTACTAGCCCTGCCAACGTGGCTGTGGGACCCAGAGATGTGCTCTGCAGCAGGGGGGGAAGTGCTGCTGGGGCAGAGAGACCCAGTAGCCTTCCTGGACCTATGCTGGCTCCTCTGCGGGGAACATCCAGCCCCACTACTGCTGCTTTGCCTCCTCCCCAGGGAAAAGTTGCTGTCTTGTTTCTAGCTGCTGCCTTGTTTCCAGTTAGCAAATCAGAGCATCAGCTCTGTGCTGCTAAATCCCCAAAGTCCCATCACATCAGGCAGCTGTTCCCATGCAACTGCAAATTTTCGAAGTCCTTCTGCACTAGCTGCAGCCAGGAATCCAAGTAAAAGGCTCTTCTCCAACCGTTTATTTCATAAAAGATTTATTTTAAAATTAGAAATGCATAACATTTTTGGAAGAGGCATTATTTTGGGGTCTGTCTCTGGGCCAAGTCTTGGGCAGCATTTGGGTGGTATCTCAAATCGCTGTCCCCAAACTCTGGCCCTGGAGCTGGAATGGTCCCAAGTGTTGGCAGTTCATTTCAGCACAGGGCCTGATCAGAGCATCCGAAGCTCTGGGAAGCATCCCTGCCCTCATCCCTCGGGCAGTCTGTTCCTAGAGAGTGAATGATTCTCGTTCCTCTGACCTGTTCCCTCATCACTGACTGCACCAAGATTAAAACCTGGGCAAAGGCCAGTGGTGCTGCACACCCCATGTTTGGCAGTGTGGAGCACTAATCCTAAATTGTCCCCAGGTCCCCTGTCGATAAGTGACACTCCCCAGAAGTGGCATGGATGCTGGCCCAGCCAAAGCCTGCAAGGTCTGACCAGCAGAAGGATGTACAAGAGGCTCAACAGCTCATAGCACCAACTCTCAGCCTGCTGTAGGAATCATCATGGAATAAAAGGAATTTTCAAAACCTTTACAGGCACCATGGGCTCTCCTGGAGGTAGGACTGAAATTTTTCATAGCTGCTAAAACAAGCAAGAAGCATTTGTTGCTGCTGTTGTTTTCCTGGTTTGCTACAGGGAAATCCTTTGGTCCTTAGGGGAAAGATGGACAAGGGGGTGGTCGGAAGAACCTGGTTCTTGGCAGATCAGGTGATGCTATCTTCCGTTACCCCCTGACACTTGTTGATGGTGAAGCTGGTCCCTACCAGCACCTATTCACAGTGAAAGGAAGCTGGAAACAAACTGGCTCTAAGACTTCCTTGAAAAGAAAACTTTGCTGCAATGTTGAAAGTGTCCACAGGCCAGTGCTGCAGGAGTCAGCACCAGCACTGTCATGTTGTACCAAGGAGTTGAGGCACAGCCATTCTTAAAGACGTTTTAAAAAACTTAAAATGCTGTAGGAAAGAAATATTCTTCTGTGGGCTCAGAATCTTGATGTGCTGGATTATCAATAGCTGCCAGCAGAGGGGAGAGCTGCAGGTGGGTGCTGCTGACAGGGTGAGGAACCTGCCTGCCGCTGCAGGCCCTCTTAGCATCTCCCCCTTGTTGTCACACGTGTCTTGGGTGGAAGCCAAGCCGGTTGTATCCACCCTCACCTGGCCAAGCGGAAATCAGTAAAGTGCTTTAAATCACATCACTTGTACTCGGTCCTGCAGCTGCATCCTGCAGCGGCCTCCTCGGGGCTGGAGAGACGAGCTGAGCGGGAGAGTGCGAGGGCCACCAAGAGGGAACACGGAACACGCAGGTCCTGCTGCTCATCCTGCCAGCCCCAGGCTCTGCCGCTTTACAGCCCCTCACAGATCCCTATGGATCTGAGCAAGGCCCTCGCCAGGGACTAGAAGAAAAAACTGATCCGAGAGGTCACTGTTTTGCAGCCTGTTGACGAGAATATTTTTTCTTCTTCAGGGAAGTAGGGGATGCTGTCAGCCACCTCCTGGACAACACCTGGCCGGACTTCAAGGCCTTGCTGGACCAGTTCGCTGATAACACACTGCTTTACATGGTGGCGCTTCAGTGGGAGGAAGGGCACCACAAAATCAATGAGATGTTCGTTAATGATCCCAGACTTCCAGAATCCACCTGCAAAAGAAGAGACAGGTTTTACCTTCAGAGAGCCTCTGCAGTCCCCAGAATTCAAAGAGCTGCTTTGTGCAAAGCTAAAATACTCAGCTGAAGACAGATCTGCTCCAGTTTTGTATAAGGAGAGAGTTGAACCCATCAATTGTCTCCTCCTTTTCCCCCCCATAGACTTGTTCTCCAGGAATGGGGGGGAATTTATTTTGACTAGTCGGAATGTGAGCCCTGCTCCCTGTGACAAGGGCAAAGCAAGGAGGACCAGGCAGGTGGTGGGGAGCAGTACATCTCAGTGCCTTTCCAGTGAGCATGCTGTGCTGTCTGCCATCCCCCAGCTGTGAATACGCTTTGTTGCCAAAGAACTTTGCTAAATGTGGCAACAGGTCTGCTGGCTTGGAAGGCTGAGCTATTCCTTCCCTTTGTCAAGAAAACTTGAGGGGATGGCAGTTCCCTTCCCTCAAAACCCCCTCGTCCCTTTCTGGCTGCCTGGGAGGTGGCAGGCGCTGTTGGTGGCTGCCTGGGACAGGCCTGGCTCCCTCTGCCAGGCTCTGGCCCTGCAGGAAAGGCTCCACTCCACGGACTCACTCTGAGGGTTTTCAAACACGGCTTTGGAGATGGCTGGTGCCAGGTCCTGCAGGCTGATCTCCTCCCGGTCCTTGCGGGCACGCCAGAGATCCAGCGTCATTTCGTTGATCTGCTCCCCCCCTGCGTTGCTGCACAAGAATGAGATGCCTGTTTAGCGTGTATCTGGGAAAATGGTGCTGCAGGACAGAGGTGGCACCTGACACCCTCCAGCCTGCCAGGATCTCCCAGCTGCCTGGCCTAAAAGGACTCCTGTAAAGGCAACCACGCAACAGGAGCTGGAGAGCTTTTTCAGACTCTGTGGGTCTGTATTCCCAATGAAATAGTGTCTCTTGGTATTTGTAGAGGCTAAAGACTAGGAGAAGGAGAAGCAAAACAAGTGTGTGCTCTGAAGTAGGTATGACCTCTGCCCAAACGAGAAGTGGTGTGCTGGGAGGCCCCGAGGTCCTCTCTTACCTTATAAAGATGAAGATTGCTTTGCGGTAGTTGGTACCGTACACAACCCATGAGGGTCCCAGGAACGGTATGATCACGTCGATCAGGCCCGGGTGCATCTTGTCCATCTCATCAAAGAGAAAGGCTGACCGTCCACATTTTGTCAAGTTCCCTTGTATCCAGCGCTTCAGACTTTCCTAGGAAAAACACCCACCAAGCTGTAAGGCAGCGAGATACCGAGGGTGGCTCAAGCTACACCAGAGCAAAGGCTGAAGCCTGAGCTCAAGCAGCGCTGAAGGTGCTGAAAGCAGCTTATCCCTGCACAGCATCACCTACTCGGAGCAGGGACAGCCAGCACTGGTCCTGGGGTTCACACAGTGGCTGTTATCAGCTTTATTAGCCCACTGTAGATCTTTTATCACAGATCTAAAGAAGGCAGCAACCTAAAGCTGGGGATTCAGACTCCTGCAGTTCCCCACATTCTTCTCTTTCACAGTGTATCTACGCAGTTCCCAGCTACTGTGTGCTATTTGCCAGCTCCTGTCCTGGTGCACAAATATGTGCCTGCATTGACCCAGAAAAGCTCTGGCTCTTCACTACAGCTGAAGTTACTTCGGTGTAGATACCAGCCCACACAAAACCACTCGTGTTGCCTAAGGGCATGTATAAATCCTAACCGAAACACTTCACCCAGTATGGGTTTTACCTTCCTTGGAGTATTTATACTAAGGACACAATACAACAAATAACACCCAGAAAGCAGCTAACCTTCATATTTTGATTCCTTCCCTTGCTCAGCTTTAAGAGACAGACTGGCACGGTTAAGAGTCTAGAGCTGCTGTTCAGGAGCTGCTTGCTCTGTGAGGAGAGGATTACAAGTCTAGCGATATGCAGCTATCAAGCTGTTTGGAAAGCAATGGGAGAATTTTAGTGCCTTTCATCTAAGCAAAGCACTTTTGTTTGTGCGTTCAAAGGACTGTGTAAATATTTAAGGAATGAGAACATGATCACAGCAAGGACTGCTGTGGGGAAGACGAAAGTGATAACTGAGTGCCAGAGTATATCAGAGTTACTAGTGGAGCTTTCAGCCAGTGTGTGGAGCCACTCACTCAGCCGTGTTTGAGAGGGTAAAACAAAGAGCTTTTATTCCTGCTGCACTTCAGGAAACAGCCTGAATGCGTATGTAGTGAGGATCAAGACGAACATAACCAAAAAAAACCCCAATCAAGCAGTACTGTGCTGAGAGGTGCCCCTTACCTTGTACTGCTCGATCCGCTCAGCGTGGGGGAAGTGCACTATCGGAGAGAACTGGTGAACGTAGGGGCTCTGGAGTCCGCCCTGGAAGAGGTAGCGGACGATCATGGAGCTCACGTAAGTTTTGCCTGTTCCAGTCGAGCCATGGAAGGACATCACGAGGGGTTTCACCGGATTCCGGTTCTCCAGGAACTCCCTCACTCCCTTCATCACCTGCTGCCTCACCAGGGGCTGCCCCACCAGATTCATGGCCAAGTCACACTCCAGACCTGAAGCAAAGTCAAATCACGGCTCAGAACACGCAGGCTGAACTAGCTCTCGTCTCCCGCACTGCGGCCGGCCCGTCTCTGAGAGCTGCTCCCTCGGCCCTCCCTGTCAGCCCGCCCAGGCTGCGGAGCGGCCCCGCTCCAGGGGGGAGGCCGAGAGCCCCCTCCGCGCCCCGCTCCAGGGACGGCCCCGGGGGAGCGGCTCCTGGAGACGCCCTGGCCGCCGGGACCCCCCGGCCCCCTCGGAGTGCCCGTCCTCAGAGGCTCCCCG